TTTCTATTAGCTCGGGCAAAATTCTAAGGAAGGATAACAATTTAATCTTGTTAAAGACCATGTAATACCTGTGTTCAAGGTGCTTATCAGAACTGTTGTGTGATGTGAATGAAAACTCAGTGGTAAGAATAAATACCTTATTAAGCGAAATATTAGCTATGGTTCTCGGAGGAACAGAACAGATAGGATGCATATACATATAGGGAGAGAGAGGGAGATTTACTGTATGGAATTGGCTCACTTGCTTATGAAGGCCTAAGGCCCGAGACCCAGAAGAGCCCTTGGTGAGGTCCCAGTCTGAAGGCTGGCAGGCTGGACACCCAAGAAGAGCTGATGTTTTCCAAGTCCAAAGGCAGCAAAGGCCAGGGTCCCAACTGGAGGCAGTGGGAACAGCAGGAGTTCCCGCGTCCCCAGCCTTTTTGCCCTGTTTAGGTCTTCACTTTAATTGGCGAGGACCGTCCATGTTAGGGAGAGCCACTGCTTTACTGGTCTGCTGACTCACACACTGATCTCCCCAGAAACACCCCGGGGACACACCCACAATGACGCCTGACCCATCCTCTGGGTATCCTGCGACCGGGTCAGGTTGACATCCCCATACCTATCATAAATACCATGAATGACTCTAAACTGTGAATTAATATCCAAGACCCATCACCTCTTCTCAGTGTGCATGCTTTGCTTTCTGAAGAGATGGACTTCAGTTACAAGTACTTGTGCATTTTGTACGTAGAAGATTATACTGCTGTTGATAGGGAGATGGTATTTGAGTTCTGAAACCTGGGTATGATTGGGTGGAAAGCGAGTGGGCACCCCAGGAAAGAATGGGGGAGGCCAGGGTGCGGAAGAGGCAGAGGAGTTGGCAACCAGCTGACCAGCTTCTTTCCAGCAGAGTCTGCACGTGAGAGTTACGTGATCCGAGCTCGAGAGAGAATGTTTTCTCTCTTCACCAGCCCATTTGATATTCATGGACACTAATTGAATGTGTCTTACGTCATTGGCGTATTTCTCGTTGCTGAAATATAATAGTGACCGAGAGGCTCGGCCACTGCCTTTATGGAATGTACTGTCGGGAAGAGCCAAGTATTTCAGGCATTAATAATAATTTTTTTAACCGAAGAAGTTTGTAAGTCATGCAAATAAAAATGTTACTTAAATATAAATTGAATAGGTATTGAGGCCGCCTTTACTCACCGTGGGCTTCCTCGATGTTCATCAGCCTGCCTGGGGACATGTTTCTTCTGGGACATTTTCTGTGCTTCCTGTTCCCCGGCTTGTGTGTTTCTCAGTTCACACACTTAACTTTCTACAGCTCAGCGTTCCTAAAAATTAGATGACCT